CCCAGCGATATTGTGCAAGGAAGGGTCACAACATATTGACACTTTTTGTTGCTTTGTTGTCCCGTTTACATTGCGTGTAGGTCGACGTTGTGTCTCTCAGGATGACAAGGCCAATATGAATCGCTGACGCTCAGCTCCAGCAGGACATGATAGTCATAGTCATAGGTGGCCAACCATGCTGTATGAACTTAGACAGTGCGCTGCATGAGGTGTGGGACAGACTCGAAACCAAAAAAAAACTCAAAAGGTGGTACAAGAGCATATTACAATAAATAAGTATGTATATATACCAAAAGCAAACAAGATGGCAATTAGTAAACAACATGTGATTACCTAGCATTTTTAATACTAATGGACATTTTTTACAATAAATCTCGATAAATTCTTTAGATCCTGTGTGTTTGTTGTTGATAAAAGTTTTACAAACTTTATAATATTTGGCCATTCAGTATAACATGATGAGAGAAATGTTTGCCTCTCTCTTTTTAAAAAAATGCGTCTGAATAAGAAGTGAAATTTATCAGCAAAAGATGGAGAATTACATAATTTACAGGTTCTATTTAACTTTGGAATATTTTTCCATTGGCCAGTCTCATTAGGTAAATTATGATTACAGGTTCGAAATCGTAGTATAGGAATTGCTAATTGTTTTGGCAATAGCAGATATTTATCGAGAACCGGAGTGTCCTTTAAATGTTTATAATATAATCCTTTAGAACTAAAATTAACGTCATTTCTCCATTTCTGATAAAAATGATCTTTAAGTATTTGCTCTACTTCTGACTCTAGCCACTTTGTTGTGCAAATCGACGGATTGTTAAATACATAAGATAATCCTATACTGTCTGATATATCCATAACACATCTAACCCAGGGATTTGTTGATGCAATAGTCTTATTCCTATTAATGAACGAATATTGATATAACAGCTGTGAAAGTTTAGACACTCCAGTTTGATATGTTAATTTGTGCCAGAAAGATATCATTCGTTTACAAATTATTATTCTTAATGGCAGCCTACCTAATTCGCCATATATCATTTAAAGATAGTTGGATACCTTAATCCTGTGATAAGTCTGAGGAACTTCAGGTGTATTCTTTCTAAAATTTCTAAATTTTCAAAGCCCTAGATTTCTGAACCATAAGTTTATATTGGTAATACCATCGTATCAAAAGCTGATAATACACAGTCCAAAGGTGAATTTAAATTTCTTGATTTTTTTATCAGACAAAACATTGCTTTCAATGCATTATCACTAAGGGACTTAAAGCTTGATACTAGTTTTCTATTCCTGTGAAGTACAGTTCTTAGATACGTATAAGTGTCGACAATATCTAGAGTGTTATCAGAATAGTGAAATTTATGTTTCTAATTTTTCGATGGACCACCACCAATTTCACAATTTTTGTTTTAATTATATTCATATGTAATTTGCACTCTTCACAATATTCATTAAAAGTGCCTGAGGCTTTCTGTAAACCTTCTGGTGATTCATCAAATAATACAGCATCATCTGCATACAATACAATTATAAATTGGATCCATACAATTAAGTCTTTATCTTCACCATAGTTGAGATTAACTCCTCCACACCCAGATGAATGCAAAAAGGTTTCCACGTAATTTATGAAAATTGAGAATAATAGAGGGGATAGGGGATAGCCTAGTGGTTAAAGCGTTTGCTCGTCACGCCGAGTAGAAATCTCTACATAAAGCAGAGTCGATTGTACGATTCCGACTATATCATGAGTGTTCCATATCCAATAGAAATCTCTACATAAAGTGTCTGTTGAGGAATCACCGTCACTAGTTATTATACCAGGTGTTCGCCAGAGTCTGGAGCTGCTGAGATATTTCAGGAAGGGAAAGTTGACTGTTGGAAAGTTGAAGTAATCCCTCTTGTCATAACAAATTCAACCTTTAAAATGATGGTTACTGTCGAGAGATCTTTAATGTGAGATGGCTACAGAAAGTCTCAGACTCAAAGGAAATCGATAGCGAGATGTTATTTGGGTGATTGTTTTGATGCTGTCGTCGCCTTGTAATAAATAGAGATGCTTAATTAGTCATATAGGTTCCGGTATTTGTCCATCATGACACAAACATGACTTCATGGTCTCATTTATTTGGTAAAGAATCAAATTTATGAATCTCAACATGTTTCAAACACGTGACAGGCTGGAAGATTTTTAAAAGATATTTTAAACAATAGTAGAGGAGTGCGTGGGTTTGAAAGTCACTGTGTGACGAGTCTGTCTTGCCTGGCCAAAAAAGTTGTATCTCCTGAGATGATTAGGCGTAGTAAAGTTATGTGAGTATAAAAACTTGTAATGCATTATTTAATCCTTGGATGTGTGTGCGCAGGTACATGAATGTTTTGGGGAATAGTTAGGAGTAAAGGTCGTTGGACGCCTCACTCCTTGACAAGCGACCCTCTCCTGACTCAGTGAGTCATGGCTAAACTGGCCATGACGATATGGAACTGCAATACACTTAGATAACTGCTGTAGGATCCCTTGACGCCCCAAACGCAGTGACGACAATATGGATCCATCTCATTGGATAGTTTCCGAGGAGAAGATTTTGGAAGATATGTACCATAAAGAGCTCATAATGAACTTTGAAAACCTTAAATCCAATAAGGCTGCGAAGGCAACTGGCCTGTGACATAAGGCGAAGAACAGAAGTGACTGACAATCTCCTTCTGCTTTACCGTGACAAGTCTATCATTTGTTGGATGATCTGGTGAGAAGCTATAACATAACCTGTATCGTTTCTAATGAATTACGTTTGAGGTGTCACCCCTTAGTCCTGAAACCAATGAGTCTTGATGGTTTATATGCACTCGTTGCCATTGGTCTGCATGCTGGTGAGTTAATAGGACATAATCTAATGAATGCTTCTTGTGTTAAAGCTTCACGAACTATTGAATAATAGATAACAATAAATAAACAACGCAATTACATGAGGACATATGGTCATACTGACTTGGAGTCCTAATTACAGGCAAAGGCCGTTTGCAACTTGTCTGAAAGTTTCAGTATTCTACAAATAACAGCCGCAAAACCTTATCATACAACCATTTGTCAAAACTACATTTCAGCCACTTTGGTAACTAGTCCGGTCAAAATAACCATAGACCAACTATAGACCATCAACCAATGTTTAAGTTGGTTCATATTTAACAAGCCTTCCTTAACATCATAGCACAAATCTAGAAAAATCAATTCAATTTCAGTCATCTTAAACCATTAACTAGTAATTTCACAGAATTGTTTTACTGAAATTCATTGTTTCATTTTCTTGTTTTTACTGGGGCGCTTGTCTTGATACTGATGAACTGGGCAGTAGTCCGCCAAATATATCCACCGTCGGCTGAAAGTTTAGCAATATATGTTTGCATCTAAGATATATATATACTTTGCAGAGTTTCTGTGACCATCCTCAGTAAAAAAGAAAACAACACCTTCGAAATAGACACATGAGTCATGCTTTCCTCGGGAATAGCCAAGTACACTGAAAATATCAATCAGTACGGTTGCGCTTATTCTCCTTCAACAAACCCGCTTTTCGTTTAATGACTGTGGTTTGCCTGTGTATGCCAGTGACTGTGTTTGTTTGTGCAGGTCAAGCCCGTCGAATACCGTGAGCATAGACATTGCAGAGTAGGACTAAAGTCAGTTGAAATATGTCTGATACAAGCTATGCTACACGGGCATAAACGCCCATCAAGTTCTCCTGTGCTAAACGAGATGTGTTTGAATATTAAACAGGCTTTAATCTATAAATATAATAGGTGGTACTAGACCACAAGGACAAACTATACAAGAAAACTCCATTGTGGTGAAGCAGTTCAGTATCGCATTCACTCATTCGACTCCTATTACCACGGACTTTAGTGCATTTATTACTGTTCATGCACCGAATCAAACAAGATGGGACAATTTTAAAACGGCATGGTTGAATGAATGCATTACTGAAAGGTCCTACCATTTTCTTATCAAAACCCCAAACAACTATATGTGTGTGTGTATATATATATATATATGTGTGTGTGTGTGTGTGTGTGTGTGTGTGTGTGTGTGTGTTTTGTGTGTGTGCGTGTGTGCGTGTGCGTGTGTGTGTGTTTGTGTGTGTGTGTGTAAGGCGTGTATATACATTAGCATTATGTGGATTTCAAGTGTAATTCAAAATATATTACTGTCAGATTAAAATCGTACTTCACGCATTTAAAAGGGTAGAATGTTGTCCTAGCTGATCGCTTCCCACGGCCGGCGATGGCGCAGCATTATATGTGTTGACAAAGAACATATCACGTGGGGCCTAGTTGTCTAAGGCGCCACATGTCGCTGTGCACGGTTGCATCACATGAGCATGTCTGAATTGTGGGTTAGAATTCCGGTGAGTTTGTTGTCAGCATAAACCCTGATTACTTCGTGAGATCGCAATGCTATTAAAACTATTATAATTATGGAAATTACATGACGACACAATCAAATGGCATCACTTATTGCTCTGCTATTGAAACTGTTAGCATGACTTTTTACACTTAAGACACTGCTTAATACTGTCACCAAACTGAAAAGTTTGAAGAATGATGTTGGATGATAAATAAAATCTCACCCTTGTGTCTTTTGATATAATATATATATCAACACTCGTTGATCAAAGTGAATAAACAACACTTTTCCACTTTTATCAACTCATTATGATATTTTTTATATCAAAAGACACTCTGGTGAGATTCTCTGTGTATAAGAATGTCCTTTTGTGAAACCATGCATTAAAACTTTATCTTTGTACAGACCCGTAAATGAGATTAAGACTCAACGTCGTTGCTAAAGAAAGTGAATTTCTTCTCTCTGCTTATGGCCAGTAGGAAGTGACGTGTAGACTCACTTTGGTATGGATTGCACAGAGATATTAAGTACACGTATACAATATGGTGTGGGCTCACCCGGTCTGGTCACGTGACAAGTTGTAACTGAAGGGTAGCAGTATAAAGGCAGCGGCTGGCGTACTGTGGGGCATTACAGCTGGAAGTGGGCTCAATCAGCGTTTGGTCACGGCTGGTAAGTGTCGTTCATTCACTTCTGCTGATTTATACTGTTACACGTTTGTAAAGCTGTAAACCATATGTTATGATTTACCACAGCACACAAACCACTGAATCCATCCACGTGAATATGTTTTTGAAACCTCAACGTTTCAATTGAACACATTGAAAATTGAAAGGAAACAGTTTAGTGACGAAATTGCTGTTGGAACTGTTGGCATTTTATTGTTACACAGTATAAGGTTTAACTTGATACCTATCTCAGATTTGTTGATAGATATATCCAAATTCACATGACTAGTAGGCTTTTTTTAAGAAATAAACGATGAGGTGGAGTTATTTGTCATACAATAAAAAACAGCAGGGAGAATAAACCATGAAGGACGCAGCCGATCTCGTCAATGTCGGACAAGTCCATTTTATGATTAGGGGGTTGAGTCGGTATTTCCCGCACATTCCCAGATTCCTCACGTTTATTATCTTTACCTTTGTCATATATCTCCCGGTCTTTGATGCGATCTGTCGGCCTTTGCATCCTTTGAGCCTATTCTTTATTACCTTAAAGATGGACCGGGCAGGGCTTTTGTACGAGAAGAGTTGCTCATAGTTCCTGACGATACAGTATTATCGCCCTAAATAACCATAAGCGTAGGTAGTTACACCACACTTATCAATCCATCTCCTTGTATCTAAGGGGGATAATGATGTCTTGTTCATTCTTAATCCATATATCCTATGATTGTAACTTCTTAAAGAGTTCATCTCGTGTTTGAATGTTCTACCGTTGAATAATGCTTCTTTATACTGTTCGTGTTTGATATGCTTTTCTACCACATACTTCTTTACACCCTTAGCTTTTCTTATCTCTCCATTATCGGACTTCTTTATAGAATACATCTTAGGTCTTACTCCGCTATAGGGGTCCCAGCACATTCATCCTTCGTCTAACCTTACACCTTTTTAATTACTACGCTGTGAAGTGGATTAACTGTAGGGTAATCGCTCCTGTTGTACATATCTATTTTTTCTGCCATATCTTTATACACATCCTCGGTTTGAATTTCCATCAACAAAGAATCTGTGTCGGTATATAACACCTCGCATCTATCGCCGTATTGCTTCTTAAGTTCATTGTAATAAAAGTCACACATTAACTGTTTTGACAAGTCAAGAATACTCATACCAACGTTCACCGGTCTGTTGAATTTTATATTACTCTTCCGAATAAATCGTTATCAAAGATCTTGCTTCTGTTAAAAGCCGGACTGGCTATAAGTTTCCTGAGTCTTTTTTCCTCATTAGACCTGACTAATTTAACATCAACAAGCTTCCTTAGATTCTCTATAGTTTTACCAAAAAAATGAGTTATTCATGAGCTTATATAGATTCTGTTCAAAATCGTTGGTAGCTATCGTTCTTAAATCTGTGTTCAGGCTTATATGGGGCTCCATCCATGGGCTTTGATCAAACTTTAGAACTCTGTGTATTTTCTTTAGTTTCATACCTAACGATAGATATAACTGGAGATTTCTGTAGTGAACTATATATTTTGTCTTATCCATCAAATTTGGTACGAGTTTTTCTAAGTGAGCTAACCTAGTATTACCCATCAAGGAGTGTTGATATTCCGACATCCAAATCTTTATTAACCATTAATCTTTCAGGAGCCAGCGGATAACTGTTATGGTCTTTATGTACCGAATTTGGATATTCCAAGTCAACTTCTAGTATGTACCCTTTATCAGAATCTGAGGGGATATCATTCACTTCGATATCATTGACCCACTCTAAACCACGCGTGGGTAAAGGTTGACTCATAGCCCATCCGTACAAATTGTTGGCGTCAAGATATAATACATGCGTTTCGGGTTTACTCGGAGCATATCCTTCCACTAATTTATTATTAGCCTTAACCATCGATATACCACCTCTTAATCCTTTCTCAATAAACAAGTGCATATCGTAATCTGTGAATAATTTTAGTTCTACACCGGTCTTCTTCAACAATGCATCCCACGATAGTCCGCGACTGGAATAGTACCATGCCGGGTCCAAACCGTATTGTTTTAAACATTTCTTTCTAAATATCTCGAATATATCGGCGAGTAACAGTACATCGGTTCTTAAGTACAGATCGTGATAATCGCCTAAATTCTCAAAACCTAATTTATCCCACACCGTCAGAGCGTGTTCATAATCTGCATCGGTTATTTTAGATTCTGTTAAGTTACTATAGAATGATTCAAGGTGTGGTAATTTAGTTTCGTTGAATCTAGACCAATCATCCATATATTCGTAAGGATATACACCTTTTCTCAGCAACAAATGACGACACGGATCGGTATATTGATTTGTTATCGCAAAGTCATCAGGATTGTTCGCATTAGCTAAACTATCCAGGAAAGATAACAGAAACTGTACGGAGTCTATGAATCTTAGTCCATTACTTGCTTTATTCTGGCTTTCCCATCCTTGTCCGTATAATGTATAGTTTAAGTCAACGAGAATGATATGTATTTTTCCATATTTTTAGAAATGCATGTTAAGCCACCGTCAGTCTTGCTTGCATAATGAGATGTGAATCGTATCCTCTAAGGTTGTGAAACACAACGGGGATGGGTATGGTTTGAGTTTCAAGTTACACTCGTTATGCGCGGCTCCCCAATAATTACCCATGACGTGGCAATGATCTCTTTCAGAATCCCCATTCAGGGGTTTATTACAAACATGACAACATTTTGACTTCTTATAAGCCCTCCAATCATCCCTCGTCATACACATGGGTTTTTTACGCAATAAATTTTCCCTGATTATTCTCTCTTCACTTTGTAGATATTCTAGGAACTTTCCCGCTGCATCGGGACCTCTGTAAATCACGGGTGGGTTTGTTTTCCCATGATACCTTACAACTATCCAAACCCACAAGGAATATGTTCTTGAGTTTTGTATGTAAAACTACTATCTTGATTATCGTGTTCCGTATTTTCTATAGGTTTGATAAGCGCTTCGAAGTCGGCGTAAATTACGAACGGTACTGGCATTTGATTACAATAATGTTCAAATTTTAGTATATTTTACCCCTCTTTAGGCATATCGATCCTGATAGCATTCTGTCCAACACCTCTGCAGTCTTCTTTATGCGCTTCTAATAGATCTTGTCTGCTGTACCCATGCAGGCATCTTTCGCAGAAATATTTTTTTCCCTTATGCTTTGTTTGATCGTATAATAGCCTGTTTAAGCTCATTATCCATGTATAATGATATTTTCCATCTTTTTCGATCAGAAATGAATTGATTCTGGGAATATGTTCCGGAGTGGAGCTTATCCTGTGTACAACAATTCCTTTAGAAGAATTTCTGAAAACATTTATAGCTAAATTATTTTGCTTGTCCACCTTATCAATTTGTGATATTGGTGTAGGTTCGTCTATACCATCGAAGTTGAGTCCATCATTTTGGGGATAGCTCGAAGGTCTATTTGCAATTTTAGAATCTACGGGGAACAATGCAGGTCTTATCATCACTCTTCAACAGTCATCAGATTTATTTTAAAAATTAATTATGCCTTTTTTCTTTTTATAATACGGGGGTAAATCTATATAAGATCCACCTTTGAAGGGCATATAATTTGCTATATCTAAATATAAACCCGAACCTCCATTAGTCCAGCGTTCTAAAGTTTCCTGTATCCTCTGAATTGATGTATCTAATGATGCGTTGATAGTATCCGACTAAGTTATAACTTCTTGATTGCTGCGGAAATATGGTTCGGTATATTCGGTGCTATCATCTGCGCTACTTTTACTCAATGACATTTTAATCATCAGCTGGTATTTTATAATCGGACGACTATGTTCAATATTTGAATTATGCATTAGTTGGGGTTCTTCTTCGTCACGCTGGCTTGTGGTATTTCCTCATTCACTTGTTTCACAATCTGTTGTGATTGTGCAATTGGAGTTATTTCCTCGTTCACTTGTTCCACAATCTGTGGTGTCACTTGAGTCTCCATTATTATTAAGTGGGCACGTATGTTTAAATTGACAATACCTAGCCGTTATTAAAGCGGTGGTGAGTGGAGCTAAGAACATTCCGCATCTATGATAAAACTCACAGCTCACTGCGCTTAATGCGTGTTTGATGAATGGGCCTTTCTCGAGAGATTTGCATAAATACGGGCGATGTTCTGCTGGGAGAGGGAGAAATGTACTAGCTACAACTGTGTATAGTTGTAACATAGCCGAACCTATTGTTTTAGTCATGGTAGCTCCCAGTCTAGACTCGTAATGCACGTACAGTTTTTTAATTTCTTCATCAGTCATGTTATCAAATTTTTCGATGGTATAATTTTCACCCAAATATTCTGAACATTTTCCACCAGTTGCCAAGGACGCGAGTCTTTCTCTATGGTTATCTAAAGATTTATCTACATCTTGATCTGGTTCTTTGAGCGTTTGTTCGATGAGTTCGTCGCATTCCATAATGTAATATCTAAGGAGATATCTAAGTCTAACATAATATAATATGGCATACCCAATACAGCCCGTAATAATAAACTGTTGCGAAAGAATGAGGATTTCAAACCACATAATGTCATAATAACATTATCGTATTTTTTGCTATATTTGCTATATTTTTGCTATATTTGCTATAATTTTACCATATTTTTGCTATTTTTGCAATAATTTTGCTACATTTTGCTAAGCAATTGCATAAGCAGCTGGTTGGTCGGTTTTTAATACAAGTTTGCAATGCTTTGTTGAAGCTAACAGTTTTCTGACTTTATCTTGTTCGAGCTTGGCATAAATAACATCATTCACGTAGAGATTCCACGAATGAATCTCGGTCTTTGCAATGAAACAGGGCTACCCATTTGGTCTGCTCTCTAAGATCTTTCAGAACAGAGTTGCATTTTTGAGTAAGTACCCAAACGCTATGCTGAGTATGCCTTCCAGAGAATGCTAAATACGAAAGCATATCTTTCTTTTTGGTGGGTTCTTTACTCGCACTGCAATC